AATAATAATAATAAAGCTGCAGATATGACCATTCCCCCTAGTGTGGGGATCACGCCCGCCCCCAGTGTCTCCTCCAGCCTCTTCTCTCTTCTTCAACCTTCCAACCCAGCCTAGTCATGGTGGTGAACACAACAATCAGAATGGTATGAAAACATAATCACAGCAGCTTTCTCTCTTTGAGGGCTACTTTGTGACATTTGACCAAGGATTTGAGTATTTTTGGGTTTTCTTTTTTGTCCAAGCAGTAAATACCTGAGGATGTCGTTTTTTTGTTTGTTTGTGTGTGTGTGTGTGGGGGGGGGGTAAAGGGCCAGTTACTCAAAACAGTTTCTCAGGACCTTGGAGTGGCAAGCAGGACTTCTAAGTCCTAGCCCACACACATACATACACACCCCACACAGAGTCCCTCACATAATCAGAATGGTATGAAAACATAATCACAGCAGCTTTCTCTCTTTGAGGGCTACTTTGTGACATTTGACCAAGGATTTGAGTATCTTCGGGTTTTCTTTTTTGTCCAAGCAGTAAAGACCTGACTATGTCATTTTTTTTGTTTGTGTGTGTGTGTGGGTGTGTGTGTGTAAAGGGCCAGTTACTCAAAACAATTTCTCAGGACCTTGGAGTGGCAAGCAGGGCTTCTAAGTCCTAGCTAGACAGCCACATGGCACTCCATACATAAAAGTTTGAACAGCAAGATCTATCTATCTATCTATCTATCTATCTATCTATCTATCTATCTATCTATCTATCTATCTATCTATCTATCTATCTATCTATCTATCCTCATTCATTTATTTATTTACTTATGTATTTATTTATTTTTATTTATTTATATGCCACCCTTCCTCTAAAGCAGTGTTTCTCAACCTGGGGGGGCGCGTGTGACCCCACCAAGGGAAGGGTCAAAGTGTGTTCTTGGGGGGGGAGTGTTGCTGCTCACCATATATACAGTATATGTGTCATAGCCCCTTTTAAATCATTTCTCCCTTGACCTTTTGGAACGGGATATTAAAGTTACTGTGTTTGTGCAACAGGCCCTTTCGTTTCCAAGGAGGGATGTGACCTTTTGGAACGGGATATTAAAGTTAGTGTGTCTGTGTATGTATGAGAAACGGGCCCTTTCGTTTCCAAGGAGGGATTATTTTGCCCCATTAAAAATGCTGTTTGTGCCACCGAGAGGCGGGCGGTTGCAGGTTACTTGGCGCTTATAAAAGGGGGCCCGGCGACTCGAAAAAGGTGGGAAGCCACAGTCTTGAAAGATCCGAGGCAGCTTACGGCATAAATTAAAACAAAGTTGAAAGCTAGAATAATACATTATAATAATGTTAAAAAATTATTAAACAGATATTGTATCAATATTTATAAAAGCAATATCGTGTGTTACCTGTTCCCCAGCTCTGCATTTCAGCCCTTGGTTTTGGCATGCCAAAAGTGTGTGTGTTTGGCGTGTTTTATGGACGTGTGCATTGTGTTAGTACAGAATCCTAGAATCCCTGACTCTGTGGGTAGCCACGTGGTCATGTATGCCCAGGCGGCAGTAAATATCGCCAAATATGGCATGTAATGAACACCACACAAAACTGTACATTTTTGGCTGTACACCTTTTGAAGTATGGTCTGATGAATCTGGTTGATCCGCTGTGGGAGACTGTCCCGCGCTGCATGATTTTTGGCATGCCTCTTGTGTCTGAATTGTATCATTTTTGGCTGGAAATGGGGACCCTCTAAACCTCAGTTCCCCTCCATGCAGACATATTCCTGGGGTGTAGAAAGATCTTTGATGGACTGATATTTTTTTATTTTACCTTTTCACTAACAACAGCACATCGAGTGGCTAAAAATGCCGCGAGAAGCTGCATGAAATGGGGAAATCCATAAAAACCATTAAAAGCGTGATAACGAACTAAAGTATTTGAACCAGGCCCAGTGGAAAATAGGAGTTTGACACCCCTTCTAAAGACAGCTACCACTCTAAGAAAAAGATCTGGCATTGTCTCACACTCCTGTCCTGACATTCTGTTTTTATATAAGCAAGAATTTTTAAAAATATATATATATTCATTTTTCATATTTTGGGGGGATGCAAGGTGGCACAGCCATCCCAAGTCCAGATTTCTGCAGTTAAGGGAAGGGGTGAGGAATCTATATTTGGGTTCTTAGGTGTGGGGGCTGAATCTCTATCCTAATACCTCTATCCTAGGTCTTTCTTTCCCTTATTTTGTGTGGGTACAATTCCAGCCGTGGCCCACAGCCCTCGATTGCAGAGTCTTTAAGAAAACCATGTGCGCAGGCTGTCCTTCTCATGTTGCGAAAAGTGCAAATATATCATGCATCTAAGATTAAGTTTCTGGGCTTGCTAGATTTTCGTTGTTGTTGTTGTGTGTTTTTTGCAACGGAGCGTTCTTGTGGCCTTCGACAGCTCCTGCCTGGCATTTTAAGAGCGTCATGGGCAGGCTTGTAGACAAGTGTGCAAATTGTGCATGAACGCGCACGGCGCACGTCTTTTATGAGTCGGTGGCTTTCCAGCATGGCTCCCTCTGTGTTCTGCACCCCTGGCTTTCTGTGTGGGCACAGCTGTCAGGAGGAACCAGGCGTTCAGGAGTGATGTGATGCTTGTGGCCCTGCGGGTCGAGGGGGGGATTCTGGGGGTTGTAGTCGCCTGAAACTCAGCTCCGGGCAGAAGTCTGTCCTCCATAGGTCACAAGATGAGTCGTGCTGAGTGCTCCTTCTATTAGATGGATCTTGATCTTGTTTGATTTTATTCAAAATGTGTCCTGCCCCGCCTTTCTCCTGAGGAAGGACCCCAGGCGGCTTGCATCAGAGGGTGCTTTGGAGGAGACCCTGCCCCACCTTTCCTCCCCCCCCCCCACCCCCCCCCTCTTATTTTCCCACTGGAACTGCCAGTCCAGCTGGAACTGCCAAGCCCTGCGTGAATCATCTGCAATCAGGTGCGGACAAGGACGAGAGTGGCCGCCTGCTTGGCCCCACAGCCTCACCTTATTTTCTTCTCCCCCCCCCTCCACTTGGCTTTTTTAATTGAATTTCTCTCCCCTACCCCGACTACAGACGCCACCTCTCTTTCTCCTGGGATGATGTGATTTCAGATCAAACAACCCCCTGCGGTTTAATTAGCAACACAAAAAGGGGGCCGCTTGTACCTGGGGGCAAAGGTTTGGCTGAGGTGGGTGGGCCGTCAGGGACAGCTGTCTGGCACCTTGGGATCTTCTCCACCCCCCTCCCAGGACCTTTCCTAACCTTATCTGTGCTCCCAGGAGATCTTTCTTTCTCTCCTGGGATGACCTTCTCCCGTCTTCCTCTTAGCCCCGACTTCACTGGATTCTAACTGCTTTCCTAGGTCCGAGCTGATCTCACCAGCCCCAGGGGAAGGCAAGGCTGAAGAACATCTCCAGACCTTTGCAGCTGGAGAGAAAGAAGTCAAAGGTCCGACACACAACGGCCCCCTCTGCTTGGAGCCAACTGGATGGTGCTGGAAACCGAACCATCCTCTGACCGGACCTGATTTGGGAACGGCGCGGTCTCTCCTGGTCCTCCTCCGTTGGACGAAGGGCCTCCTGAACTTGCCTTCCAGATTTGGGACTTCAGATTTGTAGGAAATAGGGAGCTCCCGACCTCGGTTGGGCTACGGTCCAGGGCCCAGCCTGTGGCTTCCGAGATGTACCAGAGCTTAGCCATGGCAGCCAACCATGGCCCCCCGGCCTACGAAGGGGCCGGAGGTTTCATGCACAGCGCAGCCACTGCCTCTCCGGTCTACATCCCCACCACCCGGGTGACCACCATGATCCCTAGCTTGCCTTATCTCCAGGGGAGCGGTTCGACCCAGCAAGGCAGCCCGGTCTCCAGTCACTCCATCTGGACTCAACCGGGGGCTGAGAGCGTGACGTACAACCCGGGGTCTTCTCACCCCTCGGTGTCCCCCAGGTTCTCCTTTGCCACCAGTTCTCCCATCCCGGCCACCACCTCCAGGGAGGTGGCCGCTTACAGCAGCTCGCTCAGCATTTCGGCCAACAACCGAGAACAGTATGCCCGGAATTTCGGGGGGTCCTACTCCAGCCCCTATCCGGCCACCTATGTGAGCCCAGAACTGGGGACGACCTGGACTTCATCTCCTTTTGACAGCCCCGTTCTCCACAACCTTCAAAACCGTGGAACTCCAGGAGTTGCCAGACACAACAACCTCGGTAAGTGATTTTTCTTTTCTGTGTGTTTCAGGCTCTTCTAGAAGTCGGTTAGAACTTTTTTGGGACTACAACTTCTGGAATTTGCCACCGTCTAAAAAAAAAATGTTCCCAAGTTCTTATGTTCCCTTCCTCTCTCTATTTGTTTAAATGTCTATCTATTGTGAATTTTTAATATGCTAGAAAACTCTGTTACTTTTCTCTGCATTCAGGAGATCCCTTTTCCCCCCCAAAATAAAACCGGTGAATTGCAATCAATTCTGTTTGCATGGAGGCACTATAGGCAGTCTCTTAATGAATTAATTAAGCAATTATGCTTCCAGAAATGTATTGGTTGCATGCCCTTTCAAAAGACCCTTTCAAAAAAGAAAAAAGAGAGAGAGAACATAGAGATGTGTGCTTTATTTCCTCCCTGGAGCATGAGTTAATTCAACAATTAATAACACAAAAAACCTGCTATTTTACAGTAAAATAATGGGTTATTCTCAGGTTTGGGAGTTCAGAGTATTGACTGTGGACCCAGGAAAATAAACAGGGTTATGCAGAGAAATATATAAAAGTGTGCATGCGCTGGCATATGTAGCTTAGATGTGTCTGTAGACATATGTACGCGTGTATCTGTTCGTCAGTCTCTCTCTGTCTGTCTAAACAAGTTTATGGACTCTCTATATTGTGATGGATTTGGAAATGTGATTGACGCTGAGTTCGAGTTCAGGCTCATGGACGTGAACGAGGTTGGGGGGACTTTACCCGAAAATTTTGGGGGGGGGCTGCCATCAGTGCAGGAGAATGCTCAGTTGCATTGAGAAAGGAATCACTCCAAAGGTACTTTAATGTTAAAATCTTGAGTAGGAGTTGCTTCTGTCTTAGCTTGATTTTGTAAGACCGCTGCAACGTTTCACAGGTTGCGTTCCTGTTCACGTAAACCTGTGAGTGAGCCTTCTTGAACACCATGGCTTATTTCCATGTAGGCCCGGTGATCCACATGCTGTTCAAGGTACGGGATTCATTTCCATCGAACCCTGCATGAAATACACAACCAGGACCTCAAGTCATGCGTTTCCTACGGAGTCGGTTGGAAACAAACTTTTCTGTAAAGTTTGGGATTCAGATAGGAAAATGGAATCATTGTTTAAGGCGCTATGCTCAGCGGAAGTTACTGATGTACTTTGAAGCTGGACATTTTTAATCTCCGACTGTTTTCCTTTTCTTTTTCTAATCTTAAATTCAAAAAAAAAATAGTTCCCTCGAACAATCCGTGTTTCTACAGCCCATCTCCAAATCAGAGCTGGGAATCCTGTCGTTATACTGGCTCTGAGATCAGATCCTGGAAAATAAAATTAATTAAAAAATATATGGTCTTTATGGATTTAAAAAATCATGGTCTTTGCACCAAAGATTTGGTTAGCATGACATACATGTTCTGATTGTTCAAGAAATCCAAACTTAATAATTGCCTAAGAACTGCAGAAGCTGGAAGGGGACCCAGCCTGTATCAAGGAGGGATATATAAAATTAGAGGAGTTTGCCTTTAATTTATTGAACCAGACAAGGAATAAATCGCCTATTGTACTTTTTAATGTGGTGCTTTAAAATGCTTCACAGAATCATGGGATCGTGTCTGTTCTTTGGGTAGAGGAGCAACTAACCTTGCTGTGGACATAACTGAGGGGCACTTTGCACATGGCCCAAGGCAGTGTGGAAAGGCAGTGTTGAGGGATGGTAAGGCACTGGCTGGAGGCCTGGGTGCTCATCAGAAAGAAGCAGAGCTTGGAAACGACCGGTCACGGAAAATCTTGATCCCACGTGGGCAGTGGCTATTCTGGTTGGGGATTCTGGGACTTGTAGTTCCCTTGGTGTGTGTGAAATCCTTTCTCGGGCTCTGCTCTTGAGAAATAAGGAGCTACATTCTTACATAACAAAGACACAGAAATGACCCTGTGTAGCCCATCTGGAAGACACCCCTCTGCGTGGACAAAGTTGGTTATTCTGTGCTGTGGACGTGGGCAGAAATGCTTGATAAGTTGACCCTCATATTTGCACATTCATGCAGGGCGTGTGTAGGTGTGCCAGAGAGATCAGATCAGTCCCAAGCCAAGGTCTGCCAAGACCAGAGGTTTTGCGGACTCTGGCTAACAACAGTTCTGCTAAATTTTAGGCAGGATTGCGCTGTAGTTCTTTCTTTCTTTCTTTCTTTCTTTCTTTCTTTCTTAAATAACCCGAGTCATTTCCGGGGAGTCTCCCATCCGAGTGTGAAACGGACCTGACCCTGCTGAGCTTCCAAAATCAGACAAGAGTGGAGGTGACCAAGATGGGGTGGAGACCCTGAGAAATTTCAAGTGGTTTCAGTCTGATTTCTGCTCAAGGCGAAGGGAGGTTTGGTCAATGGATCGGGTTTGGTTCCCCGGCCGGCGGGGGGAGGGGGGCTCTGGTTCACGACCGTGGTTGACTGCAGCCCTGGAGTGCAAGCCATGAGGATGATTAGGAGCAAGGACATATGCAAGCCATGAGGATGATGAGATTGCAGATGATATATCTGCAACATGTTTCTTGCTTGTACCATTTTCGTGTCATTCAGACCGGGGGGAGACTTTTCCCCGTCAATTCTGCTTTCTGCTTGGCAGACCTTTTCCACGTTTGAGACCCTTACACAGATTTGTGGGGTATCCTTGTTAAGAAGAATAAAAATCCCGCAGGAGATTGGCTTTACAACCTCATTCTTGCCCTTACCAGGGTCCAGACTAGAGGGGTGCCGATGGATGCTTTTTGGACTTCAGCTCCCATACGAACGCAGAATTTATTTCATGTTTGCCAGCACAGCAATCATAAGAATTGTACGCCGTCAAGTCCATTCTGATTTTCCAGGGTTTTCCAGGTAGAGAAAGATTTAGGAAAAGGATTACTGTATATAGTAGAAATGCAAAAGTCAGTTGATACTTTTATTGACCCGTTACAAAATCAGGGAGAACATATTTCGTTCTTTATTTATTTAAAATATTGTTATCCCTCCTTAAAAGTACCCAAATACTCAGAAGTGATTTCCCATTCCCTTTTTCGCCCAAGGTTGGAGACCACTGACCTAGACCACAGATTTAACCAGTGGGGATGATAGCAGCCATGTTTGTTGATTTGTACAACTTAGAAAACCTCCTTCTCTAGACCAGAAGAGCTGTGGCAATCCCCTGGTCGGCTGGACCCAGCTTGCCCAAGGCTACCCCGGCTGGCTCTCCTGAGATGCCCGATGGGGAATGGAACCTCCAGCCTCTGGTTCTGCAGCCGGATACCTAGACCACAGATTTAACCAGTGGGGATGATAGCAGCCATGTTTGTTGATTTGTACAACTTAGAAAACCTCCTTCTCTAGACGAGAAGAGCTGTGGCAACCCCCTGGTCAGCTGGAAACCTTGGGCCTCCAGATGTTCTTGGACTTCAACTCCCAGAAATCCTGGCCAGCAGAGGTGGTGGCGAAGGCTTCTGGGAGTTGTAGTTCAGTAACATCTGGAGGCCCCAGGTTGAGGACCATTGGGCTGGAGGATGCTGGGATTTGGAATCCAAGCGGCATGATTTCATTGGGCATCTGGCCGGTTTCATGCATAAAAAGCAAGAAAAGGAAAGTGTACTTAGGCTGCCCAACCATCTTGTGATGGACGAGATGGTTGGACAGGGTCATCGAAGCGACCAACAGGAATCTGACCATACTCTGGGAGGCCGTGGAAGTCAGGAGGGCCTGGCGTGCTCTGGTCCATGGGGGTCACGAAGAGCCGGGCACGACTGAACGACTGAACAACAAGAACAAAAACGTAGGCTGCAAAAGTATATTTCTCTGGTAATCACGTTCCACCAAAAAAAGGACGCGACTTAACAACTAAACAACAAGAATGAGAACTTAGGCTGCAAAAGTATATTTCCCTGGGTATCACGTTCCACCGAAAAAAGAGCAGGCCTCACTTCTAAGTAAGCAGGCTCAGGATTCTGAATTTTGTTTACATTTCTCTCATTTCTCCTCCCGGGAGGTTATCCTCATCATAACAACCCTGCAGGGAAGGAAAGACAGTGGGATGAGGCAGGTGAGAGGAGCAGAGGGCATGAGTTAAAACAGCTATCTCAAGGAACCCATCTCCCTTTATCAGCCAGCTGGGGTGTTAGGAGAGGCCTTTTCTGCCGGTCCCGCCACCTTCACAGATGCATCTGATGGGGACACCGGAGAGGGCCGCCCCTGTAGCTCCTCATAGAGACTGTGGAACTCCCTCCCACTGGAGGCCAGCCTGGCCCCGTCTTCGCTGTCCTTCCACAAGCAGGCCCAAAGACCTTTCTCTTCAGGCAGGCTTTATCTTAGCGACGGGCAGCCTGAAAAAGGGTTTTTTAAATGGATGGTTGTGTGTTACTGCTTTGAATATGGTTTTGGTGTTGATTTTATTTACTGTATTTGTTTGATCCCTTTTAGTATCTGCGTGCTTACTGTTTTTAGCTTTAAATATGGTCTTTTATTGATGTAAGCCTTGGATCCTTCTTAAGGAGATGGCGGGGTAAAAATATTTTAGATAGATAGATAGATAGATAGATAGATAGATAGATAGATAGATAGATAGATAGATAGACAGACGGACGGACGGACGGACGGACGGACGGACGGACAGATAGCTAGATAGTCACTTCGGCTTGAATTCTGACGAGGTTCATGTTTGGGATTATTAAAGTTTTTAGGCAGTGGTTTCTTTCTGGGGTTGGCCTGTAATCAGCCACTGGCGGGGGTCACTTTGTCCTTCCCTGTGAGGGATGTAAACTCCTGTTGGAAGCAAGAGCCTGCCAACAAGAGGAGCCTTTGCAAAGTTAACAGGTCTCTGTTTGCTTTTTCAAGCTGGGAAGTAGATCAATTTAAATAAAACTCCCAAAGAGACCCTCTTTCCAGGCAGGAGGGGTTAGGGGTGTCAGTTGGAAAAGGACCTCTTTAACAGAGGTTCAAAGGGGGAGCGGGAGGAAAGGCGGTTTCAAGCTTTGGTTTG